AGGCCGCCGGCCCCGGGGCTGCCGGGGAGCGGGGCGAGAGGCCGTGCTGCAGCCTCTGGTCGCTGCCTGCCGGGAGTCCTTCGCAGATCCGCAGGGCCGGTCGCCTGCGTTGGCTGTGCTCGGAGGCTGTCGGTTGCACCGTTTCAAAATTCAGTTAGCTGAGGTGATGGGATTCGAAAAAACACTTGGATCTTTACAGTCCGTTCTGCAGGGCAGAAGCTTCCTCTTTTCTTCCCTGGAGGAAACTGAGTCGGCAAACTGAAAATAAAATACCCCAAGTGGGAAAGGAAACCAAGGCTCTGACTTCCAGTCTTAAAGCACAGCCTTCAACTGTAGAAGTGCAGCTGTCAGACAGTGGTTGAATTTTTGAGCCACTTGTGAAAGATTGACTGGGATGAAGCAGATGCTGATCCCCTGGCACGCATCAGCCGAGAGGATGCTGCAGTCAAGCTGGTTTAATAAATCCTTAGAGGAACTTTTTAACTTTGTGTTCTGAAATACCACTGTTTCATATTCAGCTGACCAGCCTCTTAGGCTTGCTTTTAAGCCTTGGTGACCTGGTTCTGGTAGGCATTCGATGTCAAAAATACCTTCAGGTGGTGAAAGTTTCCTCTCCGAGACCCTCAAAGGATCTGAGGCTTTGGTTCAGGGTCGTGCTCTGCAGAATGAACCTGCAGTTGATACAAGCTCTGTTTCAGACATCCGTACGTCTCAAGATCCTTCCCTAATACAAGTAATTCTCTGGTCTTTTGGCTGAAGAAAGCACATGACCAAGAAGTGATCCTGCATGAACAAGAGTAATAAGCTGGAGTTGTAGCTTTCCCCACTCAATTTGTTGTGGTATCTGGATGGAGGGGCGCATTTTGTCCCTTCACACAAAGTACCTATCTGCAGTAACACTTTTCTAGTTAAGAACTGATGGTATTGGAGAGTCAGCTCAAAAGTGAAGGCATGTTAAGGAAGGGAGCTTGTCAAACTGTGGTCCTCAGCTCAGAAGCTGCTCAATTTGTGAAAGTGTTGCTTCTTTGTGCAGAAGCTCTGAATTAATTTATTGCACTTACTAGCTACAAATTGATTGAACAGTTTATAAAGACAGGAGCTGAACTTGTTTTTGTAATTTCTGTAAGAGCTCTGTACTACTGGTGCCAGAGCATACTAGGTTACATGCAGGTGTGGGTTAAAACGGTTGGATTAATGTTTGAGTCTGGAGCAGCAGGACGTGCGCTGTAGTACTCTGGGGTGGTTGTCAGGGTAAAGATCATAAGTGTGCAAAAATGAGAAGGAACAAGAAAGCAGTAACTTGCACAGCAATGGGGAGATGGAGGTCAGAATGTGGAGCAGTGGACAAAGGACCTGACTGGAGAGGGTAAGGAAATAATATATTTTTCTGAAATACTTGACTTGGGTCCATTTCAGAAGTAAATAAAAGCTTATCCATATTGTTTCTGTGACTGCTGTTGATGGGTGGGACAGGCGGTGTAATGAGTTCCACCAGACACTCCCTGTAGTTTTTGGTACGCGCTATCTGTCACCCCATTTCTTCTTGCCTCCCTACTTATCTCTTTGGATTTGGCTATCTAGTTGCTCTGGAGTACTGCTGTGCCTTCTCCTATAAGAAAATGTTGGTAGCCTTTTCTGAAGTCCTCTTTAAAGTCTTTGATATGGAACAAACTTCTACGGGTTCATGAGATGCTAGTCTAGCTGCTGGAAGACTGTTGACAAACACTGCTTTTATTTTCTTGTCTAGCCATCTGTTAACTTTATACCTAGACTATAGGCTCAGAAAAGGAGTTACTTTGCGTACACCTCTCTGCTGAACCCAAGCATCCTGTTCATCGATGCGTGTGAATTCATGTTTAGCCAGAGACTTGGCAGTATCTTCCAGTAAGGCTGTCTTTTCAGTGTCTTTGTGCAGGGATCTTCATTAGATGTGTGTATGCACGCAGTAATTGTACATTATGCTTGGGAAACAGTCAGATGAATGGTCATATGTAATGTGGACTGGCAATAATAAGCATTCTGTCAAAATGATTGCCTGAAGATACAATGGGCATTTTACATTGATTTTTAAAAAGTGATGGCACTTCTCCACACCTCCAAAATTGAGGACTGTAAATGGTAAACCTGGAGTTGTAGTGCTACTTGTTTAAATAGAGGTGGTGCTTCTACCTGGGATTGAGCAGCTTCTACTTTTGAAGCAACTCTAAGTGACTCTAACTCTGTAAATACACAATGTACAGGGAAAACCTGAGGCTTTGCTCTTTTGCAGTGAATGTTGGGTTAACTGGACTGTCTTGAATGTGCACCTGAAAGGTGCTGTAAGATCAGACGTTGTCTGCAAGTGTGCAGGAGTTGCTACTACATGACTGGTGTGCATGTTGTGTAGAATAAGAGAAACTTCTGTTTTACAACTCCTGTAATTCTTACAGTAAGCGAATACCTATTGGTGCCTCTCACTGAGGCTGCAGGAAGCGTGTGTGCTGTCAATCTGAAAACAAGGTTTGTCAAAGCTTCGTTTTTTTGCGGTACTTTGGCCGCAGTAGCGATTGTCTTGGATTGCCCTGGAAGCAGCAGTCACAAGCTTGGTTGTCTGTTATGCATAAAGCTTAAGCTACTGCTGTTTGAGGGTTTAAGGTAGTTCTGCGTCGTGTCTTAGTGACTTCAGACTAATTTGGAGCCAGTGAGTAGACTTTGGTAAAATGACAGTATTTGAGATGTTACCTTCTGGTACTGGTTCTCTGTTCCCACCATTGCACTCTCGTTGCCTGACTGGAAGATGCAGTATTTCTTTAAGATGATATGAGATTCAGCAGGCAAATTCTTACTGCTAGCATTTGTATTTGTACAACACCTAAAAATTTCACTGTATGAACAGTGGTGGTGTTGCACTAATATTTGGTGCGGTTTTCAAAGTGTCTTTCAGTGATCACTCTTGGCTCCTGTTAGATGTTAGCTCTCCTTCCAGTAACAGTAGGGCTTGCTTTGTGCACCTTCCTTTCGAGTCGGTTGGGAAGGAACTGTTGCTTGAGAGACATGCCCTTCTAGTTCGGAGAATGCTGAAACTGCTTTTGTCTTCAGATAGAATACAGCAGAATTTCAAACTCTCTTTGAGGGGTGATATGGTTTTGGTAGCACAACTCTGAAATCATAGTGTATTTCAATAGAATAAGGAAAGTATTGCAAAGGAGATCATATCTGTAACCTTTAAAGGATGAAGCTAAGTAAATGACTGTTGAAGAAAGTACAGTGTCAAGCCTACTTAAGTAGTATTAACTGAAGAGTGAAATAGGGTAAATTACCTTCTGTAATTACAGACTTATTTACAGTAGTTCTGAACTTAAAAGACTTATGAGGGAGCATTTGCTGCAGCAGTCCATAGAGGAAAGAGGTAATGAGGCATTCCGGCTGCAGCTGAGCTGGAGTAGGATGCTCTGCCCTGGGGACCTGTGGTGGAGCAAGGCCAAGGTCAGCTATGCTGTTGAACTTTTCTACAGAAGCAAGAAGAAAACACTGGGCAAAAGAGCTCAGTTTCTCCTTGTTTGTAGTAGTGACTTCCATTTAGTAAATATTTGAGAAAAATTGTTGAACAATGAATTCCTGGCTGATAAGGAGGAATCTTGTAGGAACGTTCCCACTTAAAATCATTGGTTAGCTTCCAGATTTCTCCTCCCTGCCCCCTCTCGCTTTACGACTGGTTTTGGATTTATACTTTATTTGGAACATCAGCTTAATGATGGGGGGGTGGTAATCAGTTAAGCACAGTGATAGCTACATGCAATTTATAAATAATAAGTAAATGTTCATAAGTTGGACTGTTTTTAAGCACCTGTGCAGATGTTTCCTTCCAGCAGTGAAGTAGAGGTTTTTCATGCAGGTGGCCTGGGTTGAGTTTGGTGAGCTAACTTACCACAACGTGTTGTGGAGTGACCATTAAAGTGTGCTGGAAATGTGGATTCTGCAATGGGATGGAAATCCTTGTTCAGAGATCAGATTCCCAGGTGCTGTTGCTTTGCTACTCCTGAATTGAGTTTTTCCATCATGGACCCAGCTCTGTGTAGTGGTGCCTTGTCAGTGCCGTGCCTCCAATGCAGGAATGTGTGTGTGCCAGTACTAAGTAGAGTTTTACATATTTTTGAGTGGCATTTAAAACAGTTTCTGGGGAGAATGTGTTTTCCACTCTGGCCATTTCTTGCGGAGTTTCTTAGCTGACTGAGGAGTTCTAAACAAGTCAGTTAAGTACTTTGAGGTCAATATGGTATGTCAGCAACTGTTGTAATGCTTGTGGTTGATCCCTCAGCTGTAAAGTCAAATAACATCTTAACTAAACTGAAAAAATGGGTAAGGACCAAAGAGTTCGTCCTTTACCCCACCATAATTCCCCCAGCCATTGACTCCCGTGGTTTTAGAGAGCTGACTGGAGAGTTCAGGAACTTTCTTTGTAAGTGGCTTATATCGCTGTCTTCTGATGATTTTCGATGTGTTTGTGGCTAATAATGATATGAAATAAAAGGGCTAATATTGGGGGTGAGATGCTCAAGTAGTGTGGATGAGTAGAGACTTACTGGAGTGTTCCATGATTAAACTAGATGTGTGATGTGCTTGTAGCGTTAGGTTAGCCTTGGATGCAAAATAAAGGTGTGCATGTTTCAACCTTGTGTTAACACTGTGTGCCTCTGCAGAGGAGGTGGCCAAGCTGGAAAAGCACCTGATGCTTCTCCGCCAGGAGTATGTAAAGCTGCAGAAGAAACTAGCTGATACAGAACGGAGATGCAACCTTCTGGCTGCCCAGGTTAACCAAGACAATGCCAGTGACACCTTCATCAGTCGACTTCTTGCCATTGTAGCTGAACTGTATCAGCAGGAGCAGTACAGGTAAGAAATCCCTCTTTGGGGAAAAGGGGCATTACAGGATTTTTTTTTTTACTTTATTGACTACAGTAGGTGCTAGTCTTAGACAAGCAAAGTTTTTTCTCCACTGCCTGGTAAGAACAGGGTCCTCATTTGCAGTTGGAAGAGCATGCTAAGATCAGGTAGCATACTGAATCCAGTTCTTGAATCAAGAGCTCTAAGTAGAAATTCGTCTTGGAGACTGACGTTTAATTGTCAGTTTTCTTTAAACTTGTCTTTCCACTGTTAACAGTAAAGCTCCCTTTGAACAGAAGTAGCTTTAAACTGATCTACACCTAGTTGATGGATTAATCACATAATGTGTCTTCTATGAACTGGAAAGCCCTGCTTGCTTGGAAGGATATGTCCTGGAAACTAGTTCTATACTTCTGTTGCATGTAAAGAAGACTGATTAAATTGGCTTGTCTGGTTGTATGATCTGACAGGTCTTAGTGATATATGTGACTTAGTGGTATAAATGGTATTGTATCTTTGAATCTCAACCAAAATTAGGTGTCATGGTTTCTTTTCTATAGGCACATTAAGGATCACCTTCAATACTCCAGAGCCATTAACTGATTTAGTTCCGAGACCACAATGACACTTACCAATTTCTTTGCTATTGCTGAAAGCAATGCCAATATAGTATAGGAGTTCAGTCACGTAAGGGAAAAATATGTAATTTTGATTAAAATTTCCTTCCCCTAACATCTCTTTATGAGCCTTCCTTTGAAAAGGCTCTGTGCCTGGCAAGAACTTATAGCATGCTGGGCAAAAGATTTGTTAGGTAGCATATATCAGAAGAGCTGAATCACTTCATTTCTGTTCAGCTTTTGAGGTTTAAAGGCATAGGATAGTGGTCTAGGAGAAAGGAAGCAAATCCTAATGCAAGTTTTGTTAAGTAACATTTCTGTATTTTGTACTTTAGTTTATAGCAGTGCGCTGATTTAGAAAATGGTCTGGAAAATACACCTACACAGTCAGAACGTTTACAAGCTATGAGATTTTAAAATAGACAGGGCAGGTACTTCTATCTACAAAGGATAAGCTGGTGTTAAAGGGGTCAGAATGAAATCAAAGCGTTCTTGACAGGTGGTCTCCTGGGAACTGGGGATTCTTGGAGTCTGCCTTGTACTCAGACTACTGTCAAACATAGTTTGTTCTCTTGCTGGTCTTGCCTGAAACCATTGGTGCTTAGCTGACAATGTTAGTATGGACACTGCAGCATAAATATTTAACCTCAAGATTTTTGGATTTTCCCATATTCTATGATGCTTCCCTTGCAGTTTATTCTAAAACGGTTAGAAGAACCACAAACACTTTAAATACTAATGACTTTTTGCATTTCTTCCTAGAAAAGTAATAATTGTGCCATTTGGTAGCATGTTCTACTTAACCAATTAAATGTGTTTTGATGTCTTGAACAACTTGAACCTAAATGTGGATACCAGGGCATAGATGCTATGGAGATGCTGAATCTGTACGTATCTAAGCACAGGGGAAGCCTGAATTATACGTGTGTATGCTTTTTTATCTTATTAGTGATCTGAAGATAAAGGTTGGGGACAAGCAGTTCAGTGCTCACAAATTTGTCTTGGCGGCACGCAGTGACACCTGGAGTCTTGCTAACCTTGCCTCAACAGACGAGCTGGATCTGTCAGGTCAGTCATCGCTTAGTAATATACAGTGCTTTGGTTGTCTTTAGGATGCCTGATAAAAGGGCCCGTTGGGAAAAGGTTCTTTATGTACCTTTCAGACTACTACTGTCCACAAAAAGTGGTGCTTAATCCATTAATTATGGAGCTCTGTCTCTGAAACATGGTAGTAAGCTTGTGAACTTGATGCTAGTTAAATCAATAACATACCTTCTTTCTCTTTAATGAACAGGGGTTGAGAATGGTGGCCTGTTTGTCTTTTCTAGAGTCAACTAAACATAATGAAAAACAAATCTATGTGGAGGAGCTTGACTTCTTCCTTTCTAAGGACAGGGCTTTTTGAGGTAGTGTGCATAATTTCTCTGAAGTGTGTCATGGAAATACCTTGCTTCTTGTTAACATAGTGTGTGTGGGAAATGAATACGAATACAGATGTGTTATTAAAAAGTTATTTGCTTTAGCACTGATATTTTTGCAAAATAGGTGAGGAAGAAGTTTTCCAAGTCTTCTACAACATTGTGTTTTCTTCTGCTGTAGCTGTTTCTTGCATGTACTTACACTGGGCAGTGTTTCTGCAGATTGAACCTCTTGATGGGCTTTTCTGTACTTAACAGTATAGAAGAGTCTTACAATTAATTTGTGAGCAATAAAAACAGGCATGAAGTTAAGCAGGTTTGCGGGCTGGCATGGTGAATATTAAGCATTGGCTTCACTTTCTGTACTTAATCTTATCAGTGCAGACGAACTGGAAAGAAGCAAGTCACAGCAAGCTAGTTTTATGAGACAGCATAGGCTTTCTTGCAAAAGGATTTATGGATCTTTCTGCAGTCCCAGGAAGACAGATGCCAAGGATTTTTTAAATTGAATGCTGTGTGAATAGAAGATTATTACCAAGAAGCTCTTATGTTAATTGTAGCTTTGTTGCAAGTGGCAGTCCATGGCATTGATAGCTCCCTATTTGAGCTAGTCTGAGAATCTCAAATGTAACTGCAGTCTTGCATGTTTAACGATGCAAACACTGTCTATTAGAGAATGATACTTAAAATAAATGCTAGTAGATGATACTTTCCACTGTGTAAAATGGATATTTTTTCTATAAAATTTGATAAATGGCACAAGGATTAGATTATGAAATAGTTGTAGCAAGCAACGAGCTGTTCCCTAAAAACTCAGTTTTCGTAAGAAGTCGTCTTAAGAACTTGCAAGCTAGGATTGCCTGAATCCTAACTTCAGAATACAGTCAGTGTTTAAAACTTGGTGGGTTTGGAGTTCATGTAATCTGCAGAATTTTCCACTCTTAAAGTTTAAAATTTTCCATCTCTTAAAGAGTGGAAAGAGATGAACGCAGGTTCTTTTGTTGGAAGGGAGAAAATGAACTTTTATCTCTGCCAAGGCAAAGAGATAAATTACAGCTTGAGCACATTTTCTGATTACTTCGAGTTTGGCAAAAGATACTTGCCTTACTGAAACCTCCTGTTTCTTAGGAGGCAGTCTACCTGCTATGCCAAGTACTATCTGGTACTCTGCAAATAATCTGGGACAAGGCTCCAGGTAAAGGAGATGTTTTAGGATGGGTGTTTCAGTGTCTTATACCTGTATGTTTTCATTTTAAAACCAAACAAAACGGCTTAAGGTATTAATGTTATTTTTGTAAATGAATGGTATTTTTTGTTGTAATTGATCTGATCTTATGCTGTAGAGTAATTCTCATCTACATCCTTGTGTTAGGATTGTCATTATACATCTGACCAGGTGCCTGGCCATTGGGGTTGTGGATCTTGTGGCGTAGGTTTCTATTGTTCTTGCTGTGTAAAAACATCAGGCTTGGTATCAGTGTTGCAAACACCTGAAATGTAACTAGCTGCTTAAACTGACTTTTGTACCTTTCCTAGAAATGGTTCCCAGCAGTTTAAGTGCTTTGTAGTCATTACCAAGATATAAGTACCTCTACTGGAATGCAGCAGTTCGTAACATGTGGCTATAATATAAGAGAGGGTTCTTAAATCAAATGGGGATTTGTGCTTGTCAGGTGCAGGTGTGGATTTAGCTGTATGTGAATGACCAAAGACTTTCAAGGGGCATCACTGGCCCCTAAATATGCAGTGTTTGTGGAGCAGGTAGGAGATGTTACAGGGCTCCTTGCATTCTGCACAGTGTTCCAATGGGGAAAAAAAAAGGTTTTCCTGCTTGGTGTCAGCATTGTTACTAGTTTCAACTTCTGACCAGTTTTGCCTCTGTTTTGACATTTTGATTGAACTAAAGCAGCACAGTTTCAATGAGGCTATGTTTTTTTCATTATAGCTGTGACTTTAACAGTCAGAGGAATAGCAACTACTTGAATAGGCAATTGTTCTTTGGGTATTTTATTAATCCCTGTTGCTCCCTGTACTAGATGCTGACCCGGAGGTAACCATGGCAATGCTGCGGTGGATCTACACAGATGAACTTGAACTGAGAGAAGATGATATCTTCTTGACAGAGCTCATGAAACTAGCTAATAAATTTCAGCTCCAGCTGCTTAGGGAAAGGTGAGTCTTGGTAAATACTGTGAATCTTCTTGAACTCTTCAACCTTGTTCGACTAGACATGAGGTGACAGCTGCCGGCAATTGGGTAAAATTTTGCTTTTTCAGAGTTTTTAGGTTTTAATAATACAGCATGACATTCAGTTGATCACAGGAAATGAAGCCTCGCACTACAGTTAAACTGTAGCAGTTTTTCTCATAGCTTTTATGTTTACTTTACAGTTCCTCTCCCAGTCAAACTAATAGCCCTAATTTGGCATTAAGAGGAAGCAGAGATCAGTATATTAGTAACAAGCTCTGGCGAATTGGAAGAAAGGAGTTGTTAAAGAGAAAAGTAGGAAGACTCAATGGCAGGTAGCTTGCAGTAGTAAAATACCACAGGTGAAAAATTTTTAACTTAAATAGCTGTTGTTCTGTGCATGTGGGTGGCAATTTCCCTTCATAAAGCAGGTTAAAGTAATAGTACAATGCTTTGCCCTTTTGAGGAGATTGATTACACCATTCTAGTAGGGGTTAGGTTGTTATCTTGAATGTATAGAGTGCTCTAAATAACCATTCAGAGTTAGTGAGAAGCTTGAATGTACGAATTGAAACCTCTTCAAGTTTTATACAACTTCAAAGCCTTGAATGTAGTTAAAGATAAAGTACCCTTTGTTATAATCTTTTACCCAGGGGGTGTCTGGGGCTGTAGCAGTACATGGCACTCATAATCTATGATGTAAGTGTGACTCAACATGAAGCAAACTAAATTGCTGTCAACTCTTCTGTCAAAGAGGTTGACATTTCTAAGGCCAGTGCTAAAACTGCCTTCGAACTTTGTACCAACCCAAACTGTCTTCGTGTTGTAATACCAAAACGGTCTCAGCTGTGGTCTGTTTGTGGTAGTCCAGTGACAAGTCCACATATGGTATGCTACTAGTAATTATTAGATGTCTTGGTAGGTGTCTGCACCTGGAGACAAGTATTTCCATTTTTATTTCTTAATGTCTGTTTGGAGATCACTGGCATGTTTAAATTCATCTTTATTTTGAGGTAGTTAGATTTTCTTCCCATTAACTTAAACAGCTTCACACCTGGTAAGATTTGGTGGATCTGCTGTTAAAGTTTATCCCTTCTCTTTATGAAATAAATAGCTGTATGTGGCATGCTGCTTTCTAGCTCTGTCACAAAACCTGCTTGTGACTGCTGTAGTTCTTGTAGAGATAGGCATCCTCCTACTTCATAATGGTGAATGAACTGCAGCTTGTTCCAGTGAGAGAAAGAACTAGGATGTCCATCTTCACACACTGCAGGTACCTGCAAGTGGTGTTATCATGAGACCTTGGCTTAGATGGACTGTAATAGGAGTCTGCTCTTATGAAAACTGCCTTACAGGGCTTCTGATTAAAGTATGTTTATGCTGCTTAGCCTTATAGTAAAGCAAGGCCAAGCTATTTTCTACTGGAATCTAGGAAAAGGAGTATATGGGACCCTGTTACAGCATGGGAGAGTGATTACAGTAAAGCTATGTTCTGATTCCTGAACAATGGTTTTCCTGTTTTGACAGATGTGAAAAAGGAGTTATGTCACTAGTTAATGTCAGGAACTGCATTCGTTTCTATCAGACTGCTGAGGAGCTGAATGCTAGCACTCTTCTGAACTATTGTGCTGAGATAATTGCTAGTCACTGGGTAAGTACTGTTGGAAGCAAGAGGAAGAATGTTTGCAGAGCATAGGAACTCAATTAGTAGAATTTTGCTTAACTTACTATACTGTCTAACCTCAGGAGTATCTCCTGGTATGCTAGCATTCAAGCATTCCAGTTGGGATGGGGACTGAGTGGATTCCTGATAACTTTCAGTGACTGATGTGACCTATTATGCTGACCCTTATATGTTCGCAAGGAGCAACAGTGTTGATAAAAACCTGCTAAATCTGCCTGCCCTGTCCCCTGGTATGAGTGAAGGGGCTGCTTCTGAGTCAGGAGTGACTTTTCCCTTCCCATCTGTCTCAGTTATCTTTATAATATGTGCTTTTGACACTGTGTTTTTTGGTATTCTCTGCAGTACCAATTCATAATTATGTTTTTGAAACAAAGCACATGAAATGGCTCCTTGTCTAAGGTTGTTTTGTTGTCTGTAGAGGTTATGTCTGTCTGTCTTGGTGTGAATGTCTTGACTGGGGGGATGTAGCTTATAGCCTGAAGAGCTGTTCGGTTCAGTGGAAATACTTCATTCTAAAAAGCATATTTTCCTAAGTGTGAGCCAAAACAAAGGGACTCTATTTAAAGAGGATTGTTTATCGAATCTGGATTCTGAACTGATTAGAAGTTCATCCATAGCTGGTCTCTGTATAGGTCACAAATCCCAGGCCTGCTTTTACTTTGAAAAGTAATCCATGGAAGCCAGGGAAGAGTTTATCTGTAATGGAAGGAACGGCAAGGAGTCTTGCAACTGACTTGAAAGTTTTGCTTGCTCTGTGTTATTTTGAGGAGAGTTAGAATAACTGAGTAATGGATTAGATTTTAAAAGAAGACTTGTCAACAGCAGACTAGTGCATGAGGATTTAAGTCATTCTGAATCTAAAATGCATCATCCAGGTGTGGATGTTTCTTTGTTTGGCTAATGCCAAAGCAGAAGGGAGTTCTTTGATCTGTGAATATATAAGAAGATTCTTGTATCTGAACCTGCAGGTCAGCAATTTTAACTCTTTCCTGCTTCTGGCTCCTAACTTTTGACACTGTATGCTGCCTGGAAATGAGGTTGTTTCTGTTTAGTCAAATGAACGCTGACTCAAACCTAAGGCCTTTCTACTTCTAAGTTTCTGTTTACCTTTATTCAGAGTTTTTCAAAGTTCTGTGGAGTTGTCAGTTTTCAATAGTTCTAGGCCTTTTTGTGATTTAAGTCCAGGTAGAGAATTCATGTAGAGACTAATTGTTAATCTACTGTAATGTCTGGTAAAATGCTAGTTTTCCATGTCTGCAGACAAAAGGAAAGAAAAATTTCATTAACTGATCTTGAAACTAGAACATTAGACGTAAAACTTCCTGAGTGTTTCTTCCTAGTCTTAAAAGGCTACCTTGGATTGTTCCTGCTTGTTATGTTATTAAAATGGAGCTTTAACTGAACTTGTTTTGTGAACTTCATAATTACGTTGTACAGTGCCTTGTTTATAGAGAAAACAGGAGTGTTGCTTACCCTTTTCTTTCTTATTGTTTCTAGGATGACTTGCGTAAAGAAGACTTCAGTAGCATGAGTGCTCAGTTACTGTATAAAATGTTCAAGTCAAAGACAGAATATCCTTTGCATAAGGCTATTAAAGTTGAGAGAGAAGATGTAGTCTTTTTGTATCTTATTGAAATGGATTCACAGGTACAGTGAGACTGACTTGGATCTGTCTTCTAGAATTCAGTGTTTCAAGTAACTAGTTTCTAACCACCAGTCTGAACCTTGTTGGGTTTGTCCCTAATTCTTACTAGTATGCTTATCGTTTCCCTAGCTACTTCTGTATATGTAATGAAAGTCTAGCAGTAAAGGCTCTGTAAAGACAGAATTAAGTGTTATGATTCACTTCTGAAAACATCTTGCATGCAACAGATTGTATCTGATGAAATCCAGTACTTGATACTGCTATGCACGTTTAAAGCTAATGATGTAATAGTCAACTTTGCTGCTTCATGGCAGTTCAGCAAGCATCACTTCTTTGAACAAATGCTTTTCCTCTTCTGTTGAATGATTGGAGTAACAAGTATTTGTTCTATTTGAATGAACACTCTCAACAACGAGCAAACAAGTAGTTCCCCAACAAGGGGGAAGGAAGAATGACTTGGGTATTAATTATCAAGAATTACTCAATTAGTCCTTTAAAATGCTTCAAATCCTAATTGGAAGCTGGGACTATAGCACTTTTAGGTGCTAATCCAGTTGAGATTTGAGGTATCTTAAAGGAATAATTGAATAATTCTTCCTGGTACTATGCTGAATATGCCTATGTAGGCAGCATTTTTTCAGAGTATACTAGTCTTGCTTCCTGTGAGTTACACAAGGCTTGTGAACAGAACTTCGGTTTTCTCATTGAACAGTCCTCTGGTTGTAGACTTGCCTGTGGTGATGCTAGTCTTCTGGTTGTTTTCCTGTGTAAGATGCACTTATCTAAATGCGATGCTAGCATTTTGCATTAGAGCTGAAGGTTCTAGCATTGTGGTAGTTGGAACAGGCTGTTAAAATATTATGTTGGGCTGGTGCACATACCTCTAACTAATGTCAGTTGACTGAATTTGTGTTGTAGCTTCCTGGGAAGCTCAATGAATTGGATCATAATGGAGATCTTGCTTTGGATTTAGCCCTTGCCCAAAGATTGGAGAGTATTGCAACTACACTGGTCAACTACAAGGCTGACGTAGACAGGGCAGACAAGAGAGGCTGGAGTCTATTACATAAAGCTATCCAGAGAGGTAAGTAGATAGGATATGAAGCCTTGTTAACCTGCAGTTGTTCCCAGTGTGGAATATATATTCCAGAGTCTATTCCTGTGTCACTTTGTAGTTGACACTTCAGTTAGAAAATTGTAGTCAAGGATGAAATTTGCCCTATTTGTTTCTTTAAACTCAAAACCAAACAAACCCTGATTTGGGATCTAAAGGTGTCTAGTAAACTAAACTTATACTACATGACAGCCAGCAGCAATCTAGTAGAGTATTGTCTGCTAAAGGAAGAAATGTAGGGAGAAACTGAGAGTATTCTAATTTGACAACAGTGTCTTTCTGACAAATAGTTGAATTGAGCATGGCAGCCTAATCACAAATAAAGATGAAGTCTTTTTCTAGACCTGGGTTGAATGCAGCATATGCTTCTTTGTGATTATGATATACAGCGAGGGTCCTTGTTGCTGGACAGCAGTTCTAGGGGAGGAAAAACTGGCTGGAAGAAGATGAGTAGTAGTTGGAGGTGTTTCTGTGCCAGTCTGAATATCTTCAAAGCTCCAGTGAACAGTAGAATAGTAATCAGAGTGGGGTCTGAGTACAACTACATGATTATCTTGAGCAGTTCTCCACCTTAGAGTGGAAAATGCATCTTACGAGACCTGGAGCACAATAGGACCTGATTGCTGTGGCCACAGTATTCTGAAGGCTTTGGAGCAGCAGCACCTTGGCCTGTGGCCAAAGTCTGGTAGAAATCTGTAGCGAGTGCCTTGTGCTGCTAGTTGCCTGCAATGATATCTTTGGCAGCTCTGTTCCAGAAAGCAAAGCATGACAGGAACCTTACCTGTGACTGAACCTCATGGGTATTGTAATGCTACAAATGAAAAGCATAAGTTTATTTTTAACAGCAGGCTCTCTTGGACTCTTGGATGTAGTTTGTTTTGTGAGCTCAAAATACAGCTCCTGACTTCTTCCTTTAATCCCCTGCATGTCTAAACAGGGTAGTGCTGTTTTCTGGTCCTGTGAATGAAGCTTCAGCAGCAGGAGTAGGAGATCTTCTAGGCGTAGGTCAGTGTGGTAATGGCTGCAGCCATATGAAGCACTGTACAGATTGCAGCAGGCTGCTCTGCGTAGTTAATACTAACATTTGTCCTCTAGTTCTAATTTCTGCTTTGAGTCTAAACTAGAGCTCTGAATATGAATGCTTGCTTTTCAGTAAGCAAAGCTTCAGTGAATTAATCACTGTTAACAATCATGTGTGCTGGAAATGGAGCTAAAGCAAATTGTCTGAACTTGCCACATGATTCTTATTTCTTATGATTGCTGGAGAGTAGGGGAATGTCTGATACAGAAATCAGAAAAGGAGATTCTGGTTTTTGCTGGCAGAGAATACAACAATCTATATTGCTTAAACAGGTACGCAGTCTTTTTTGTTCTTCAGTCACGCATTCAGGGTGAGCAACTTGCAAATATGACTATTCAAAGTAGTCTTTGGAGTAAGGGGAATTAGTGTTGTCCTGAAGTCATTCTCTGCATCTCGGTGGTTCAAGTCCAAGGTTTCACTAAGTGAAGTGGGCCTAAGTTCTGACTTCTGAGACACTCTCGAGGGAATTCTCGGGAATGCCCATGCATGGTGCATCCTAACTGTTGAAGCCCTTACCCCATACATAATGGGGCCTAAACTTTCAAGAGCAAAGGCTGTCTTATTGCCTGTTCATGTAGCAATACTGAAGAGATGGTGACTAACTTCAACTACGTGCTTTTGACTGGTGCCCTGGAATAGTACCTTTTGTTCAAAAACTGCTATGTTTAGTCTCACAGTTTGTCCATTTGTGCATTAAAGCAGCAAAGGGCTTATCTTGATAGAGGAACTAGTGATCTCAGTATCACCATAACATGTAAACTAGAATGTGAACTTAAGTCACGTGTAACCTCAGGGCAAAACACTTTTTCCAGGGGGTTGTTATGGAATACTTTAATCCTGACTTCCCAGTGAAGCGTTCTTGAAGTTACCTATTGCTAGTGCATTCTTAAGAGCAGACATTTGTATTGGAATGATTGTGTGGTGTGGAGGGAAAACATATGTATCTGTTTTCTGGATTTATATAAATTATACAGGGTATGTAAAGTAGATATCCATAAATAACCTTGTTTTGTTTCACAAAGGAGATAAATTTGCTGCGAACTTTCTCATTAAAAATGGTGCCCGTGTGAATGCTGCTACACTGGGAGACCAGGAGACTCCTCTGCACCTTGTGGCGTCATACAGCCCCAAGAAGCATTTGCCAGATGTGATGGCAGAGATGGCACAGATAGCAGAGTCTCTCTTACAGGCAGGAGCCAATCCAAATATGCAAGACAGCAAAGGAAGGTGAGTACTGTGTGAAGTCTGCTACCAGTCTAACAGATAACACTGTAGTGATTGGATGCAGCCTGCTAAGAACCTGCTCAGGTCTGCCAGCAAAGCACAGGTGATGCTGGAAGCAGGCAAGGTGAATTCATTAATCCAGTTTGAGATCTGTGGGTGGCACGCAAAGCAGAAAGCTGTGCAGGCTGAATCGGACACTGTCATGACCAATTGAACATAGCCCAGCTGTAGAAAGCTGGGGTGAGTTGATTGTGTTAGAGCACATGGCACATGAATAATTTGCCTTTATTGAATCACTGAACAGTAAAGCAAGCTAACTAAGATAACAAATAGTATTCCTGAAAGGTACTTCTCTGAAGCTCTCGGTGAAACTGGAATTATCTCAAAGAGGCAGTATCTGCAGGCCTCTAAACTGTTTTACAGGTTAGGCTGGGCTGGCAAACAGGTACATAAAATGATATAGAAGACTTGGAGTATATCAGCTACTCAATTCTGATAGGTCAAGCTCTTGTGCCTTTTTCTTGAAGGTTAGCTCTTACATTAGTGTAAGGAGTTGCTTACTACTAAATTAATTGCAATTGTGTCCACTAAAAGGGTAGATTGCTCTTTCTTTCAAGATGCACCTCTGCCCTTCTGCTGAAAGCAGAGACAAACGTTAACTCTGTAGATCTATAGAGGAGTGTTGGTGGCCATGGACAGAATCTTAACCATCTCACTTGTAACTGTACTTTGCTCCAATTACAGGACCCCATTACATGTGTCAATTGTGGTCAGGAATGAACCTGTATTCAGTCAGCTTCTTCAGTGCAAACAGTAAGTCTTACTCAAATGTAAAATACACTGAGGTTACCTTGTACAGTGAAGAACGAAAACTGGTTTAACAACTCTACTCTGCCTTTTTGCCTTATAATAAGGCTAGCAAAAGGCTTGGGATGCAAAAGTGTAAAGGCTTTGCGTAACTTAGGATGCCAGAACAATGCTAGAAGCCTAATAAGTTTTTGCCCTACTGTAAAAGAAGCAGCAGACTGCATCGCCATGTTTTTCGAAGAGGGCTAGGTGAAATAATAGGGCAATTACTTCATTTGTAGTGGAGCTAAAAGGAGTAATAAGACTCTTCAAAATGTCTGAATATGTTATTGAGTTCAGTTTGGGTTCTGCTTAAAGTTAATACAGGTGACTTCTTAGGGTGATGAAGCAGAATACTTCATTTGGCTTGTTTTTTTTGTAGTTGAATTTGCAGTTGTTATATACAACTTATTCAAATACAAGAGGATTTGCCTCTACATTACTTTTAGTGGGAGCCCAAATCTACCAGGGCCATGCTTCTCTTAGGATCAGTGAGCTTAAATCTAGTAGTCACTGAAAGGTGTCTTGCTTGTTTCAGAGTATTCGTGAATTCTCTGAAGTAACTGGAGCTACAGTAGGCTTCTTGGCAAGCAAAAGTTGTCAGTAAGGTATTGGATGAGCTAATACAGCTGTTCAGACACTTGAAACTTAGGCTGCATCAGGGACCGCTCTTTAAGATATAAATTGGGAAACATTAACTCTTATTTTTAGACTAGACTTGGAGCTGAAGGATCATGAAGGAAGCACAGCGCTATGGCTTGCAGTTCAGTATATCACTGTATCATCTGATCAGTCTGTAAACCCTTTTGAGGATGCCCCTGTCGTAAATGGAACCTCATTTGATGAGAACAGTTTTGCAGCAAGGTTGATCCAACGAGGCAGCAATACAGATGCTCCAGACACAGTAACAGGTAAAACAGAAGTCTGTATTTCTGTGTAGGTGGAAGGCTTGGAAGTTAATTGCTTAATGCTAACTGCACTCTGAGGAGCTGAATGAGGTCTTAACAGTGTTTGCTGCATAATAAATGGTAGGTGGTAGTACCTTTACCCAGAGCTTGGAACACTGACAAGTCCTAAGCTAAGCTTGACTTGCAGGAAGTGACAGAAAATCTGGACTCCTTGCCGGCTCTTAACATCCTCTTTACAGTTTCAAAATGTGTAATTGCTAAATGGTAGCATACATGACAGCCCAGCATTGCGAGGGAACTACTAGTAGATAGGATTTTCCTTGTTGGCTTCAAATCTTGGTGTTACAAGGTAGTGGGGAGGGTGCTAGCACACTTGTTCGTATCAAAGTGTGGTTGGAATAGCACTCTTAACAGTGTCCACGTTTTTTCTTTAGGAAACTGCTTGCTTCAGAGGGCAGCTGGTGCAGGAAATGAGGCAGCTTCTCTCTTCCTAGCAACTCATGGAGCAAAAGTCAACCACCAAAATAAATGGGTAAAAGCAGAAACTTGCAGACTGTAGTCTCATAGTTTCCTTATTTCTCTTCAGAAATAAGATAGAGAGAGCTTATTGCTAACCATAGCTTAAAGCAAGTTGGAACACTTGCTGAGCCTTCTGCATGTTTTCAGATGTTTACTAGTGATGAGACAACTGTTGCATTCTCATGGCACTGTTCTTGCAGCATCACCAGTTGTTACTGGGCTTTTAACACTTCCTGCAGTGCCTGTTGTAATAAAGTCCTTAATACAGGCTAACTCATGTGATTTGGACGTTCTAAGCAGCTGCAACTACTAGTTCATAAGCTCTTCACATCAATTCTTGTGGACATAGTAGTTTAAAAGCTACTTCTCTTCTGGCTTTCATGTCTCAAGCTGTTAACCTAGTACTCTGCTTATTAAAGGGAGAAACACCACTGCATACAGCCTGTAGGCATGGCCTAGCTAACCTGACAGCAGAACTTCTGCAACAAGGAGCCAATCCAAACATCCAGACGGCAGAAGCAGTGCTTGGTCAGAAGGATGCGTCTTCTCCAACAGCAGAGAGTGTTTACCTGCAAACTCCCCTTCACATGGCCATTGCTTACAATCACCCAGATGTGGTGTCGGTCATCCTGGAACAAAAAGGTAGGTTTCTTCTGGTTCAGACTATATTGATGCTGTAGTGGATCAGTGTGTCAAGATGTCACTAAACTGTGTTTTGATAAACTACTGATAAAGTACCTCTTCCTGTAAACATTGTTTTAAGTAGAGCAATTAAGACTGGCTAAACATAGTCTTAAACTCAAATCACCTGCTTGTTAAGACTGGAACTAAACATAGTCTTAAACTCAAATCACCTGCTTGTTAAGACTGGAAAATTAATTTGCCTGTAAATCTTTCTAAAGTCTCCACTGTAGACAATGGATTTGAACACTTTGCCCCAGGTTGTATTCTAACTGTACAAATGAGATCTCTTTTCTCTCCCCGTCAAAGCATTTTGTTCAGGTAAATGCTGGAATCAAATATGGATAAAGGCATGTTTCTGTGGTGAGATTTCTGCATCCCTCAAGTCTGTCAGTAAGAGGATTTTGTACAGAGTAATGCTAGTATTGTAGTAGAGTTCAGTACTGAAATAGTAGCAGGTAACAGATTAGTAAATGCTACTGGTTCAGCTTTTCCTTTCTAGCAGCAGCAAGGGAGTTTGACAGCTGAAATAAGGCCTATTTTGTCTCCTACCGTAAGTGGGATGTAGAAGGGAGTAGGTGAATTGCAGAGAACAGCATCCATCCCACAGAGCTGAGGAGGAGTGCTGCCACTGTCTTGCAGTCCAGCCTCCACTCTTCATTCTCTGAACTTTGTGTGTGCAGCTCCATTTGGAAATGGAGGTAGAAAGGGGGCCGGTTAAGCCTCTTCGCTAGAAAGTTAAATTTTTTTTAGTATAAGTATTCAGATAGGTGGTAGTGGCAATACTGCCTGAATCCTAAGCAGTATCGCGTTCTGGGAAACTGAAGGTACCTTGCTCAACTATTGCAAACTGACTGCTAAAGGAGCAGCCTACTTCAAAATGTGACACTGCTACTGCTGCAGCTTTCAGTGTGCAACTGCAGATCAAATACAAGAATGCTCTAATTCCTTATGCTTTTTTTTCTAGCTAATGCTCTTCATGCTACCAACAACTTGCAAATTATTCCTGACTTTAGCCTAAAGGACTCAAGAGACCAGACTGTGCTGGGATTGGCTCTTTGGACAGGTATGTGCCTTCAAAATAAGATGAGAATTTACAAAGATATGAAAGCTATAGTGTGGTAAGTTTTGTTTTTTTTTTTTTTTTTAAGACAAAACAGCAGGTGTGTGTTTGTCCTGGCTTGTGCTGCTAGTGAGAAACTGTTAAGGAGAGCTTTAGATGATTCTTCAGCTTCTGAAAGGGAATGTTCACATCTGACTTGCTGATAGATTTCTAGCCTTACAGCTTTGCTTGTTTGCTAGCAGGTAGCCTGGAGCCTCTTGCCCACAACTGTACTTGCAGTACAGGGGAATGGAACTTGAAATACTGATTCAGAAGATGCTTTCTTGTCTGAAATGTAGGGGGGAATGGTTTGTGGAAAACTAGGTATTTGTTTGCAGCCAAGTGACATTTTGGCAGTATCAGGACATGGTCAAAAGAAAGAGGTGTTGTGGTCACTACTGAATCAACTTAAGCATGGCCCTGCGGAGCTGGAAACAGCAGCTGTATTGGGGATGGCTACTCATAGAGATGAGGCAGAATGCTTAGTGATGTGGCTCTGTACAGGAGTGCTAGATGTCATCCCTATGTAACAGGCATCTTCACTGTCCAGGCTCTTCACTTTCCTTTCCAATGAACGGAAACCAAAATGTAGTTTTCTCTCTAATGTTGCCTTTATGTGCTTCTGAGATAAAGGAGGAGGAACTAAGCTAAACAGGGAATAGGTTATGAACATAATACCGAAGTTAATGTGTTTGTTGGACAGAAGTCTGAGATGATGTGGAGGATTAGGCTCATTATGGTTAAGGAGGACTCTACTACATTTAGGCTGGCAGAACTAATGGGAAAGCTCTGCTGTATACCAGAACATATCTTGTGCCTTTAAGAAACATCAAAAGGACTCACTAATCAATATTCAGTAAGTCTGTAAGTGAATATTGAAGCTGGGTAGAGTCATGAGTTGGTTTAGCTCGTGTGTGTAAATTTTAATAGGCTCTAGCATTCATTCAGTGCCTCTCTTGCTATCATTACTGAAAATTAATAAATGAAACTTCAAGCTTTTAATCTTCAATGTGTATGTTTTATAGAACTGAAGGTAAAATACTAATGAGCTTTAACTCCTTAGGCATGCACACAATAGCAGCTCAGCTGCTTGGGTCTGGGGCGTCCATCAATGACACAATGTCAGACGGACAGACTCTACTACATATGGCAATACAGAGACAAGACAGCAAGAGTGCACTCTTTTTGCTGGAGCATCAGGCAGATATAAATGTCAGGTAATATCTTAACTGATACAACACTCAACTGGATATGTATTGAATGGTTAGTGACAACTGCCTTTTATATAATGGCTTGAAGCTTGTTTCAAATAATGGTTTTGCATAATTAGGTGTTTGCTTTTTATAGCACTAATTATAGCTGAGGGATTACGTATGTGAACTTGGACCTATATGTAGCTCCATTGGTCAGTACCTCCTCTTGAGACTGCAGAGAGAGGTGCCACTTAATTCGAAGTAGAACAGAATCCTCTAACAGACTCGAGTCCTAGAGACAGGTACTGAACTTCTATAGTCTCATCTATTTGCCGGCTCATTGGGGCTGCATGTTTTCTACCATCTAAATTAATTAAATGTAGCTCCAGCAACAAGATACCAATAGAACCTGCCTCCTGAGTATCTCCTAGACAAATTGATATTAGACTTAACAAAACATTTATCTGCTTTATCTGCGTTTGAAATGTGGTGAGCTATACAGTAATGAATGTCATGGGTACAAACTGCCTAGTACTGCTGTTGTAACTTCAGGTTCTTAACGGTATTTCTGACTGTTGCTTGAAGTGTTACCACAGTAGAGACAGAGCTGTTTCCTTCTGTGGCAGTAGGCTTGCTCTGAAGGAATGCTGCACTTAAGGAAAAGACAGTGTCTCTGAGCTAAGAACACTAACATGCTTTTCAAACTTTAGGAATCAATCAGTTGCTGCTGATGGGTTGGGGGGAAGAGGAAAGTAAACTGCGTAGCTGTGATGAAAAACTAACATGGTGCATTTTCTTGTCTGTAGAGATATGGTCTTACCACAGCCAAAATACACACGTGAGGAGATAATTCTTGGCTTTGCCAATAAACGACTGTACCACAAGGCCTAACTTTATAACACAATAGTAACACACTTCAAACTGTGCCTGTTACAGAACACAGGATGGAGAGACTGCCTTACAGCTAGCTATAAAAAACCAGCTCCCTCTTGTGGTTGATGCTATTTGTACCAGGGGAGCAGACATGTCTGTGCCAGATGAGAAGGGAAATCCTCCTTTATGGCTTGCCTTAGAAAATAACCTGGAAGATATTGCATCAACTCTGGTAAGAATGTCAGTTGATTTAATTTAATCTCACTTTTGTGCATCTTGCTAGCAATAAAGGTCTCATCAGCAAAAACAAGGTCAATGCATGAAAAGAACAGAGTAGTCCTATACAACTATCTAACTTCTAGAGGCTTTTCTTCACCAGAAGTTCTTTTTTGCTGGGAGATCTTTTATAAACATTGTACTCTGCATAGCCAAATATCTTGCAGCCACTTTAATAAAATTGTAGAACATGTTGTGTGGATTCCTGATTGTGGAAAGAGTAGTGGTCTACAGAAAACCTCAGTCTGTAGCATACCAGACTTGTGTAATGATCAGCTTCCTGAATAAAACTGAACATGCGTATGTGTGCTTTAGAGTATGTGCTGGTTTTTATCGCATCTTAAAGTTCCATTAAGAAGGCCTTTAAAGACTTATATTTACTTTTAAGGTTATTCACTTCTAGGCAGGAGACTTCTTAGGAGAAGTAAGTAGACCTCCTTGTGTCTCCTTCATAAGCAAATTACTTGAAAGCTTTGTCTCTGATACTCAGTTGTTGTCTGCTAGAGACAACTATTTAAAAGGTGTGTTGATGGCCTGAGAAATACATCTTGTAACTGTACTTGACCATTTGTGCTGGTACTGGATAGGAATCTTTATGGAGTCAACACTGAAACTACTTATGTATAGACCTTGTAAATAGTTTGTAAAGTGGAGTGGAACAAGCTTTAAAGTGCCACATTGCTTGAGTAAGTAGTTCTGTAGTAGGATACAAATATTAGAAATACAGTTCCTAAAAAAGCTCTCTCTGTTCAGCTGAATGTGTAGGAAAGCAACTAAGTGGGCCAGACCTTCAAAGGCAATGTCTGCCAGTGCTACTTGACTCACTTTAAGTGTTTGTCATTGCTGAATACAAGGTAACTGTTAGCCAAACTGGCTGAAGACCTGTCTGTTCAGGGTATATGGGTGAATATCCGAATTATTGGTAAACACTACCTAATTAAGTATTACACAGTAGGCCACTAAAATAGTCCAAGAGACTTTAAAGTAGCTTCCTGAATTTCAGTGACTGTCACGAGAATAAACAAGGCATCTCGGATGCAACCTCTAAGGGATAATGTTTCAGAAGCATTAGTCAAGGGCTATATAAAGTAGTAGGAGCCTACTGGAGACATAAAAAAAAACTTCACTGCCTCATTGTGCTTCTCCTTCCAGGTTAGGCATGGCTGTGATTCAACCTGTTGGGGGTCAGGACCAAGTGGCTGCTTACAAACTCTTCTTCATAGAGCTATTGATGAAAACAGTGAACAAATAGCATGCTTTCTTATTCGCAGGTCAGACCCTGTTCTAAAGTACAAACCTTCCAATGTGCATGTACATATTTTCCTGGCATAAATCAATTGAGTGCTATTTTGAGCCAGTAGCAGGTATGTGCTTCGTTAGACTTGTGGTGGATGGATGGCACTTATGGAAGCCTGACTAATCTTAAAGACACATTGTTACCTGTATTAGACAAGACAAGAGTCAGACTAAAACCAGGAACTTGTGCTCATGTAGAATGCGTCAGCAGTTGCTGGATCAGCTCTTGTAAACTTTTTTCTGACCCTTGTTTGGAACTGTTTGAATCTGGATTAAATGTAATAAATTGGCTGTATGGTGTTTATTTTAGTGGCTGTGATGTGAATAGTCCCAGAAAGCCAGGCCCGAATGGAGAAGGAGAAGAGGAAGCTCACGATGGACAGACACCCTTACACTTGGCAGCTTGCTGGGGACTAGAAGAGGTGATCCAGTGCCTTTTGGAGTTTGGTGCCAATGTCAATGCTCAGGTATGTAGAGAAATTGTGCAGTTTCTTTGAGGGTGATTCTTTGCCTCTAACGTAGTGAGAACAAACTTCCCTCTCAGCTGTGTGTTTTGCTTGATAGGAAAAAGAACACCTTTCTGTTATGGCTGAGCCAGTGTGATGACTGGCTGCAAGTTCTGTGTTCTTTCTTATCCTGTGTTACCAGATCTAGTATTTATCTGCCCGTATGATGGATTAATTCAGGAAGTTATACTGAAGGAGCACAATGACACAGAAGGCTTCTTGCAGTGTTAGTCTTCTGATGTAATGATTGGAATTCAACTCTTCTGTCCCTAATGTGAATGGCAGGCAGGAGCAGGGCTGTATTCCGCTGAAATTACTCATTAGATCAGCTGTAGTGTAAAACTCCAGAACACTCGACTTTCTTCGTATGTTTGGGAAGTGTCTTCTGTTACTGAGTAAACTAAGGTGATGTAACTATGAGTTACACTTCATTTTTCATTACGCATAATCCTTAAGCAGAAGCTTGAAATAGCAGTAAAAGAAATTAATGCATAACATTTCTGGGTCCTGCTGTTGAAAGTGACATCAAAATGAATGACAGAACATAGTCACAAAGCAGCCATGGCTGTAAACTGCTGCTTGATGCAGACAAGTGATTAAACACCTTATTTGAATTTGCAAGACTTTAATATACTGTTTGCATAACAAACATGCCTGAAATTGTTACATTTTCAGTGAGGGAGCTTTGAAGTGTTTGGCTTCCAGAAAACTTGTGCTTGAGAGTCAAGCTAGGGAAATAGCTGTAGTGCTGAGTCTATGGAAATGATACTTCAGGTTTGTATACTGTAGTCTGTACATTATTCTTTCAGATAAAAATTGAATTCTATGAATTGTTACTACTATAAAGTATTAACATCAAATACCTCAAACTAATATTAGTTTGAAAGCATTCTCTTGGAATCCTTGGCTGTGGTCTTGAATGCTCATTTCTTCCCCCAAATGCCTGGCTACATGGGCATAGTTACTCTGAGCTACTTAAATGGCTATATAGCACAGGATTGAGGTCAGCCTATCTGGAGAAACAAATGCCAACTTGCTTCACTTACACTGTGGATTTGAGCTCCTGCTGCAACTGTTTGGTGTCCCAGGTGAAGGCGGCTGGGTATGTCACAGAACTAAACTAATAAGCCTCCTCTACTTTTCAGAGTTAGGGAAGGATTTGTGTATTACTGAATCTTCATATAACAAACTTCCTGGTTTCCTTCTAGGATGCAGAAGGAAGAACTCCCATCCATGTTGCCATTAGCAACCAACATAATGTTATCATTCAGCTTATGATTTCACATCCAGATATTAAGCTAAATGTACGTGACAGGCAAGGAATGACTCCCTTTGCATGTGCCATGACATACAAAAATAACAAAGCAGCTGAAGCAATTTTGAAGAGGGAGCCAGGAGCTGCTGAACAGGTAAGCTGGGAGTATTCAAAGCATGCTGGTCGTCTTACTGCACTAATCCATGGTAACAGGTGTTCCACAAGCAAATTCTGTGTTACCCTTTTGTGGCTTTACATGCAATGACGTTTGCAAGATGCCAGTTTTCCGTAGCAGGATTTCTTAGGAAAATGTAGGTGTGTATGTGCTATGTGTGAGAACATCAAGGATTAGTGTCTCATCAAACCTTATCTCATTTTGTCAGTACTAAACTGACGAACAGGCATAGGTGTATATTAGGAGAAATTTCTGACTCTACTCTTGTCTTGTGCTGAAGTAGTACAAAAATAATGTATTACCTAGATTTCCTAAAGCTATCCAGAATAGAAACCCTGACCTAAAGTAACTGAATAATAGATGCTGTGCTGCACTGCTGAACTATAAAACCTCCAACTGTATCTTCAGGATTCTGGTGTGACACTTCAGGCAGCTGTTCAGGAGTTTCTTCCTACCCTATGTAAGTTTAATTATTAGTAAAATATCTGAGTGTTTAGTGAGCTCTTGTATTATATCTAAAGTGTGGTTACAAATACAGCCAGTTCTAAATATGCTTTAACATCAACTTCAAGGCAAAGATTGAGCAACAACATGCACTTGGTATTAAGCTGAAAAATGAATACACTTTGCATCAGTGTGGCAGAATTGCATGTTGCTTCCTTCTCTGATGTTAACTGCCAGATTGACTCGTTTGTTTCATTTAACTGAGTTTATCATTAATTGCTGCTCATACTTACTACAACCAGCTGTTAACCTTTTGTCTGCACAATGCGCTCCAGTGTGTGGTCAAGAAATGACAAGGTTGTAAAGCAGTCTGAAGCAGACTAGAGGGAGCAGTTGCAGCTGATAATTTCTCAGTTCAGTTTATTTGATAGTCACATCTATCAAATAAGTCTCTAATGTCAAGCAGTGAAAGGACCAAGACTCTAGAGCTCAATTGAAGTAGAAGGAGCAAGTATCTCTTGGTCAAAGTACATCCTACTCCATAACAGTTTGCTACAGAAATAATGGATTTCATTTCACGTGCCCTTTTTGCCACAGGTTGATAATAAAGGTCGGAATTTCCTACATGTAGCTGTTCAGAACTCAGACATTGAGAGTGTGCTGTTCCTGATAAGCGTACAGGCTAATGTAAACTCTCGGGTTCAGGATGCCTCCAAACTAACACCTCTCCACCTGGCTGTACAAGCTGGCTCAGAGATCATTGTACGTAATCTGGTATGTACTGGAGAGTAATTTTTTCCTCTACTGAAAAATACACATTCTGCATTAATGCACACTGCCTGTAGGCTGGAGAAGTCAGCTGAAGGCCACCGCTTATTTTTCGTAAATGGAACTCCGATTTGCATAAAGTTCCCTTGTCTTGTACTGTTAGCTTAGCTGCATCAGTAGCCTTTCTATGAGCGTTTGATTTGCAGCAGTCACTAGGTGGTGTGGTTCACTCTGAAGGAAGAACCTTACCTTGCACTTTCTGCACACTTCAACACAAACACAAGTTGCAGCAGCTCAGTAATGATAGCATTTTGTAAACGATGGAGGCCTAGAAGTATCTCTGTACAGTGGAGTCTGTGTGCTTCATTCACAGAAATAAACTGTTAGCTAATAGCCATGAAAATGTCTTTGAACATATTCCTTCTTGCATCTTGACAGCTGCTTGCAGGTGCCCAGGTGAATGAACTGACTAAGCATCGTCAGACTGCTCTTCACTTAGCAGCCCAGCAAGATCTGCCCACAATCTGTTCAGTCCTTTTGGAGAATGGAGTAGATTTTGCAGCTGTAGATGAAAATGGAAATAATGGTAAACTTCTAAAATTATACAAGTAGATGTAAACACTTCAGTAGGTTTCTTAACGATATTTTGTAGTGGTAGAGACAGCTCACTGAATGGGCGCACTCTTCAAAGGTGAAAAAGAACGAAAGTCCATGAAGTCAAAGCTGGTAGGAGTTTTGGAGAGGGGGGAAGTGGAAGGGGAGTGCTTAATTTTGTCAGGCTGTAATTATTGTGGACATTAGCTACTTCAGTTTCCTGAAGTGTCTGTGTTTTGCTTTTCAGCTCTTCATCTGGCAGTGATGCATGGCCGTCTAAACAATATCCGGGTCCTTCTCACAGAGTGCAATGTGGATGCAGAAGCCTTTAATATTAGGTAATTAGTATAGTCTTAACAGCCGAAAAGAATCACAGTCTCTCCGGTGTTTTTAAAATGGGGGTTGGGTGTTCTACAATACCCCCCCCCCCCAAATTTGGCTTGGATTATAGTATTTCTATACTAATTTCATAGTGAAATGTGCAGAGCATGTTGTGTCTAAATTGCGTGGAAATTATATATACCAAGAAGGGTAAGTTAAAGTAGCCAGTTGTGTATGATTTACTGAGTTACTTAGGTGGAGCATTGTTTACATCTGAACAAAACTTGAAAACGAGAATTGGATGAGTAAGTGTAGTAGCAAGCAGATGTTGATCAGGATAACAAACTTTTTTCCCCAGAGGCCAGTCACCAATGCATATTTTGGGACAATATGGGAAAGATAATGCAGCAGCCATATGTGACCTCTTCTTGGAGTGTATGCCAGAATACCCTCTAGACAAACCTGATGCTGAAGGAAACACAGGTAGGTGAGATTCAACAGCTATTAAACTTGAAAGTCACTGAAGTTGTGTTAATGGTGTGTCATTTTTAAAGCTGGAATAATTGGCAGTAGTGTGTTATATACAGAAAGATGCAAGCATTACACAGAAACTTAATGAAAGATCCTACTCTGGACTGAGTGTAACACAACACCTACGACTCTGCTAGCAGGGAAGTGTCTGGCTTTTATTTTTCAGTGCTCCTGTTGGCTTATATGAAGGGAAATGCTAACTTGTGTCGTGCAATAGTGAGAGCTGGGGCTCGTCTTGGAGTTAACAACAATCAAGGAGTCAATATCTTCAACTACCAAGTTGCTACAAAACAGCTTCTCTTTAGACTGCTGGGTAAGTACTGCTTGTTATGCTTGGAAAGTGTTTTTTGTTTCTGCTTCTGAGATACTTCAGTGGAGGAGAGAACTCTGGACATCTGACTTAGTCATTCCAGAGGGGCTGAACTTCTGAATACGGTACCACTTTAAATGGGGGGCAGAAATACTAATTTTTCTCATGATCAACTGGAAAGTTGCACAATGCAGAGCTGTCAAATGCTACTTTTTCTGGAATGATAGACGTGGAGACTTCTGGCTGGTGTCGTAGTGTGATCTAGCTTAAAACCTAGATACTGCTTTTTAACTTGTGCTGTGTAGTTGCTGTGGGTAATGTATAGCTGCTTCCATCAACATTGCATTTTCTACAAAGAAGACTGCAGCTACTGCAAGAGCAGCTAAATTGATTATACTGGATGCAACCTGAAACTGGAAAAAGCCTCCTGTAATGTTGCAGTATACTCAGGTGTCTGAGCCCATTTTGCCTTGACATTTTTGCCTCTAACAGATATGCTGACAAAAGAACCTCCCTGGTGTGATGGCTCCAACTGCTACGAATGCACTGCCAAATTTGGAGTCACAACGAGAAAGCATCACTGGTAATATGACATATCTGGCTGTGCTTACAAGGAAACGGATTCCTTTCCCAAACGTAGCTAGGCTTGTTCCTTCTGGTGGTTTAGGAAACCTCCATATTAATGGAGGTGTATAACCAGTAATCCAGCTGAAACATTCCACTCTGTCCTAGATCTTGTGGTCTGACTAAAATCATGTCTCAAGCAGTTTGTACACCTAATATTCTGATTTGTTGGAAATGAGAAAGTCAAAGTTCCAGCAGTGAAATGGAGGATTTGCATGCCTGCTTTCAGTAGTGGGGCCGACTTGCTCTGAAAGAGGTGACAGATCTGGGCAGCCACTGCCAGCTTAGGTTAGGCATGCTCTTTGTAATGTGGAAATGACTGAAGATGCTGACTGGAGACGTGAGTTACCTTTTCTTAACTAGTCTGAACTTCCACAAAATGTGCTGGGTTAGATGGAAGCTAAATTCAGACTTTTCTCTTGGAACAAGTAAGACAAGCCCAGTGTTCCAGAGAAACTGCACATGGATCAGTTAAAGTAGTACTAGGTGACTGACTAGTATATAAGCAGCATATCTTTTTTTTGGCATTCAGTTATTACATGAGGGGTATTCAGTTATTTTTTTGGTATTCAGTTATTACATGAGGGGTATCAGAAGATAGAAGAAAAATGTAGCATTTCAATTGCTGCTGAGCCTTTTTAGTGATACTGTCATTGATGAAGAAGATTAAACAGTGAAATCCAGTGTTCACTATAAGTGAACTTACTCTTCTCCCACCTCTCTTCTGTCAACAGCCGACACTGTGGACGCCTGCTCTGCCATAAGTGCTCAACAAAGGAGATTCCTATCATAAAATTTGATCTGAACAAGCCAGTTCGAGTTTGCAACATCTGCTTTGATGTCCTGACTCTGGGAGGAGTCTCCTAGTATGCTGTGGAAGTAAAGGGATTCCCAGTCAGTGCTCCTGACAGCAGCTCTGCTTACAAGCCCTCTGGATAGGGAAGAGGAGGCCTATACATGTCTTCTGCAATAGACTGAACTAATTAAGGACCCTGTTATGATATATTCTGGTATAAATGACTTTGTATGACTGTAAATGTATCGGGCTGTGATAGACTTCACTAGGAATTTGAGTGGATCATTGAAACCAAGTGACAAAAGAACTTTAGACCCTCTTCTAGTTGCAGTGGGGTATGGAAGCTAAAATTGTTAGGCTGATGTTTGAATTGACATAAAACAGGTCTGTCCTTGACATGGTGCTTTGCACTGAGCAACTCTATTAAGTCCTGTGGCTTTCAGGCTGCTTAGTAGAGATGGCATTAAGTTTCAGGGTAACCAGGTATCTTTCTTTGCTTTGTCTTAAAGATAATGTTCCCTTTCTCTAGAGAAGACTTATCATGAAGCTAGACTGAGCTGTTGCAACCACTGTCCATTTCAAGAAACTTTTCAAAAATGGGGGGTAGTCCTAAGCATAGCTCAAGAATTGTGGCCTTACAATAGAAAGCTTTACAACATCTGATGCAAAGCAGTCAGAATTGCAGATCCACATCTTGATACCTCCTCAGTAAATGTCTCATTAGCTTTAGCATGTTCAAGAGAAGTGCAAGACTGTTTTAGCCAGTAAATACTCTTGCTCATACCTGCTAGAGCTGTCAGAAGTCTGTTGCACTTTCATATTTACGTTGCTAGTCCTTCCAATTCATGAAACTTGCATAAATGAACGTAAGTGTGCTGAAAAGCCTAAGCACATGCTAAGTGGAGAAACACTAAAACTGGTTAAGTAGTCTAACTTGCAATACAGCAATAAATGCTGAAGTGCATTATGAATCCCCTGAGGGAGAGTAGCACTTTCCCTTGGTTGAAAGACTCTGGTTAACTGCTGCAGGAGAGTCAGTAATCCTACCAGCGTAGAACGTGCTGTACCTCTAGACATTAGATTTGGGTCCAGTTCCAGCAGGATTGTTGGGGAGTGGGAGTGTATTTGGAGGCTTCCTGTTAACATTAAGCCTCTGGCCTTGAAGGAAGGATTCTGAACTGGTAGTGTGGTGCTGGGCATTTGGATTAAGCTGCAGTACTTTTATCTAGGCTGGTTGTGCTCTCTTAAACATGCTGAATCTGTAAAAATTCAACACCATGTTGTCTAGGTAAACAGGAAAAATACTTTGCTGATAAGGTTATGGTTTGGTGGGCAAAGGCTTCAGTCAGGAAAAAGTGTGTACATAAGCAAACTACATGCTGTACTAAGGCTGTTTTCATCCCAAGAGGTGAACCCAGGTTTAGACTCAACTCAGCATTCCTCATCTCGACTCCATGAACTGGTGTGCATTGATTTAATGACTGTTATCTCCAGTGTACAATATGGACAAGTTGACACATTGCCCTACTTGGAATAGTGACTTGTCAGTCTTAATGAGTAAGATGAGATGATAAACCAGGCTGCTGCTTTTATGGGAGACTTGCTTGAGGTTTTTCTCAAACTTGTACAAGAAAAGGACAGAAGAGTGTGTAATTGCTGACACTGCACGATGAATTTCACATCAAGTATCACCTGATCTGCACTTTGATCTTCCAATATGCATATATAATAACTGGAATCTCACCGTTGTAACACTAGAGAAATAATGGATGATAATACAAATTTGCCTCACTGTTTAATGTCTGCTGCTGTCATGTTCTAACAGAATGCCCTGGGTGACACAACTGGTCTCTAACACAGTTGCTAATACAAATGGTGTGTCTCTTGCATAATATTCTAGAGGTGGAAAATAATGGTGTCTGAAGCATTTAACTGCAAGCTACAGTTTGTGGGGTTTTTTTTTTTGAGTGAAGTAGATAATGGAGAAGGTACTTCTAGTGCATTGCTTTCTGATGTTTCAGAGTATCACTGGCTGCAAGTCTCTAGCAGTGCAAGATAATGATGGAGAGAAAGTGCATTTGGTGAAAGAAGTCGTGACCATTATCATGGGATACACTTGTGCATTTCCTTCTTGGTTTGGAGCTGTAGTGCTGTGGAGTGGCAAGTGTGTGCTCAGAATACTGAAAGATAGTGGTAGAGGAGTGCTCTTGCAAAGCCAGAGCCTATGGACTTCAACTTAATTGGAAAACTGCACAATATATAATCGATAAAGCATTTAAACATCACTTTTTCAGTGACTTCTGTGGACAGGGTGAGGGAAACAGGGAGCTCAGTTCTAACAGAATAAGCAACCTTTTAAATGATGAAAAATGCAGGTCTTGTGAAAATTCAACTTAATAGAAAGTTTCAGGCTGGCTAGTTACTCTTTCAAAAAGTAGAATATTAATTGCAACTGCCTGAAACTCTGGGAGAGGTCTGGGAAACCACATGTAATACTCTTAGTTTGCTGTTTACATCCAGTACTGTACCAGCTTTCTTACTGAAGTCTGAAAGGAAAGTTAGGGTTACTGATAAGCTAGAGTACAGCCTGAAGTGTTAATTAAATTTAAAGCAACTACAGTGAATTTGATAATTTTAAAGTGCCTTTGAGATAGTTTCCTTCCAGCCAACTCTAAATAGCTTTCTGCCAGAGTTAAAGAGGAAAAGCTCACAACCTGAACCAAAACCCGAGTTAGTTCTAGTTCAGCTAAAGAGGCTGACCCCACCAACAGCTGGTGGGGCTCAGTCCTTTATGCACTCTGCCTAGTGTTGGTCTGAACTCCCAGACCTCCGAGATTTTGGGGGAGTTTTGCTGGCAATGCTCCACTGCAGGGTGCAAACACAAATGGAGGCACTCAGTAATGCAGTAGTGGTCAACACATTTCTCACTCTGTAAATAACTGCTCTTCCTTTTTGTAGCATACTACAGTTGTGACCAAAAACCCCATCCCTCTTACCCCTGCTGTCTTTAAGTTGTATCTATTAACTCGAGACTCACATCTGCCAAGCACTGAACAACAGGGTAAATGGAAAACAAACTTCTGTCCCTGGGAAGGGATGCTGTCAAACGGGGCTTCAGGCACTTCACCAGGGTTGCATGGGAAAGTCTGTGGCGGTTCATACTGTAGCTGTTTGTTCCGAGCCTGGATTCCTTTTCATTGCAGTCACCCAGCACTCTTGCAGAACCACAAAATGTGGTCTGGCTTAAGTTTTAATTTTTGTATCTGAAAAAGGTGTAGTTGCTGTTTCGCACCACGGAGTGAGAATGTTAGTGTTGAAGGTACTAACAGAGCATAGCAAGTTGCTGGCTAAAAGCTGACAGATGCCTTAATGACTTCCTGTGCTGCAGATCAATGGCTCGTACAACTTCTCACATACTGCTTGTAAATTAACATGTAACAATATGGGAGGCCAAGGCTGGACTTTTTTTTTTGTAGATCAAATGTTAATAGGCAAGTCCTCTTTTTCCTGTAACCAGCAGAGTTGGGTACTGCAGCAAACTCATCTCTAGAAAAATTAAAGCTTGTAAGAGTGACAAAAATCATTCTGAACCTTCTAATACCCTCTGTGAAATAGAAAAGGAAGTCTTAGAACAATGGCATTTTATCTGCAGTGTTTGTCTGGAGTCATTGTAAAAATGTATTTTTCCAATATGCATTACTTTGTTGTGTAATGATTCTACTTGTAATAAAATGCATAACTAGATAATGCATTGTGAGGTGGAAACCTTGTTAAGAAAGTGTCTTCTCTTGTAGAGACAGGTGCCCCTCTGCAAGCTATCCTTTACAAACCACGAGGAAAACTAAGGCTATAACGCTGAACTGGGCATGACAGCTTTATTCTTTGTTCTGAAATTATTCCAGGTACTCACTTTAATGTTGTGGAGCTGCTACAACTGTTCTCTTGGCTGACAAGGTCTGGCCTTACAGTTTATACCATATAGTCATCTTGATGCCTTATACTAGACTTATTTGTAATCATTCTTATGAAATAATCTGAACTTCCTACAGGCTAGAGCTGGTTCACGGAGTAAGTTGGTTCTCAGCTCAGCTGCACTTAACTGGCCAAACTGAGCTGCACTGACCCAAAGTACCATGCTTAGTGTGTTCAGTTGTACGCTGGTGGGCAGCTGAGCCTCCTGGAAGGGCAGGTAACTGCTGCAGCTTTACTTCAGGAAGAGGAAAGCTTCCATGCAATAGCAAAACAAACCCCACCATCTTGGTGAGATTGCAATGCATTGGTCTTTTATTAATAAAAAACTTGCTTAAGTATGGATCAAGGGTGAGCTTTATGAGAGCACTATCTTGACATGACCTCTGTGTGACTATCACAGTTTTCTTCCTCCCCCTTTTCTACCCTAGGAGAATCTAGCTGAGCTTTTGAATTAGCATAGAAACAAGATAATCTTGGAGCACTTCAGGTCAGTGAGGGAGTCCCCTTATTTGCTTTAATAGGTGACTTATTCCTAGTGCAAGACAAATTTTTTCCTCTCTAGTGTTCCCAAACAAACTGAGGAACAAGCTGTGAATGGGCTTTCAATCACCTTTAAGCAACCCCATCCCCCCTTGCCTGCCTGCAGCAGCTTATCTGATTTTTGTGTATCTTGAGATCAGAACCTTCCCCTCAGCATTCCAGCGCTATTTGCATAGTGCTCAAGCATTACAGCAAGATGAAACCTGCTTAAAAGCTACACAGCTGATACACTCTCACTAGGCCTCCAACTTGTGATGTTGACGTGTCCTTGTGTCTACTTTTTACAGAATTTAATAATCTGGAATTTGCTATGACACTTAAAAGACACTTGCCAGTCATTTTTGGGGATGGTTTGACCTCTAAATGCAAGTCCTTGTTACAGAAGACATGTCCAAAAGCAGATGGCATGCTGACACAACACCCCTAAAAAGGTAGTGACAATGAAGCGCTGCTCTGCAGCTCCTTCCTGCAGGTTTCACACAGCCTTATCTGCAGGATTATTACATGAAGCGAGCAGCCCACTGCTCTCCCGAGATGGCACACGCCCGGGCCGAGTTCCAGCTCCAACAGCGTGACTGGGGCTGGAAATGCTGTGATG